AGAAACATACCAAGGGAACATGAATCAAATATGCACTTTTATTCATTTACAATAAACTCATAAAGTACATAATTTTGATTGAAGCTAAGGGCATACAAAACTGTCTAACAAGATTTGCTCTTCACAAAGTGTGGCTCAGACCTCACAGCATGCCCTAGTTGCACATCGGGAACATCTCCCATACTTGTATTTATTATTCATGGGGAGATGTTTCCAAATGCAGGGTGGATGTGGATGTGGCTGTGAATTCAGTGTGAGGCGCTTTCGATGAGGAGCAGATCCCAATTCTCATTTACCCCCACCCTTTTCATACAGATAATTTTTAATTCATTTTTTTAATAAATGTAATATTAAAGACTTCTAATTCATTTTATTAATAATATATAATATTTTGATCATTTATTTATACTATTTAATACATTATAATCCAAATTCGATTTGAATCTGCTGGACATGATTCTATATCCAATTTGATTCATCCGTTTGCAACTCTATTGGAGGAGACCGGAGATGGAGAGAGCACAAAACTGAAAACTAGGTTCGACTATGATATGGAAAAAATATGATATCTGAAAATTTTCTGACCAATCAATTGGAATCATATTTTTTCAGGTATTATTTATCAATCTGTGTTATTTATCAAAATTCATGAATAGGTTTTAATTGGTCAAAACTCTTCCCATACCATATCTTTTCCACATGATAGATTTTTCCCTGAAAACTGTTACTACGTGTCTGGCCTTTTTATTTGTCTGTTACTGGTAGTAGTAGATCCGGACTACCTTGGAAAGAACTCTGGCAGACTATGCAACAACGTCCACATGTACGACTGGGATTACTTCATGAATGGTCATAGATCGACGGTCATGAACGCCTTAAACTTAATTCTAAAGTGAAGTTCGACGGTGGCTTCCTATTCAAACAAACTACACAGCACCAACTAAGATCTTTCTCAGTCGCTGCTCTGCGTTTGTTTGTTGCCTCTGCAATTAAGGTGATTCTGAATTCTATCTCTTCATTTTCCTTTTTTTTTATTTTTTTATTCTTGGACTCTTTCGACTGGATTAAGAAGAATGTTCAATGTTCATTTCCTTCGATTTGAAAACTAGGTTTTTTTATCATCATTTATGGACCGAAAACTCAATTTCTACTTTTTTTCTTCCATGTTTTCTGACCAACGTAATGCGAATGTTTTTGTTGCTTTTTTCCTTGTGGAATTAGGGTTTTGATTTGGTATTTAGGGTTTATTTTGTTAGGTTGCACTTCTAGTGATTTGCTTCGATTATTTATTTATTCATTCTCTGTCCCAAACTGAGAACCTGATGGATCGGTATGAAGATAATAAATACCCAATAAGATTAGAGGTTGTGCTGCCAAAACACGCCCAAAAAAATGATAAAAAGGAAACGTAGAAGAAAAAGAAGTGGCTATTGGAAGTTCATGCGAAGTATGGAATTCTTTTCCACGTTTAAACTCGTTCCTTTCTGATCCGGAAATTTTTATTTTGTAAATCCACTGTATCACGTCTGATTATTTTCTTCTTGTTTTAAATTTTGAATCTGTTGATTCCAAAATGTTTTGTCCCTGCCCCCTTGATGTTGCACGTGTTGGGGTTTTAAGGTTATTCTGTTTGAAAAGTTTTCTGATTTTGGCACTTCGAGGTTGTTTTGCAAATGGCTGAGGCAAAACCAGGAATGAGGAAACCAGTGTTCATCAAGGTTGATCAGCTTCGTCCAGGAACTAGTGGACACACTCTTACTGTAAAGGTGGTGAGCTCGAAGATGGTATTGCAGAAAGGCCGGCCTGATGGGCCTCAAGTACGTCAGATGCGCATTGCAGAATGCTTGGTTGGTGATGAGACTGGAATGATAATCTTTACAGCCAGAAATGACCAAGGTTTGGTTTTCTATAATTGATTATACTATGCATTGGTGTTTCCATGGTTATATACTTATATCTAGTAATTGCCCATTATATTGCATGCATATGCCATATAGAAGTCTAGGTTGGTGTTTCTAGAGGTGCTCAAGGCCTCAAGCTTTAAGTCTCAAGACTCATGGTATGCCCGGAAGGTATCTGAAAATATCCAAACAGTTCTATAGATAATAAGCATATAAAATATGAAAAAACATTGAGTATGATAAGTAATAAACGAAAAGAAACATATTAATAATTGATCTGGGTAAACACCACATTTGCATGGACTCTCCTGAGTGGACGATGTGTCTGTATTGGATAGACACTCCATGGTTTCTTGGGGACACTTTTACATGATATTTCCTTCCAATCTCCAAGCTTATTTGACATAATAAATGAACATATGATGTACAAGATGAATTCCATTTCTTTTTTATATCAAACATTAATTGGTAACAAAGACAACGCTTCTTACAGGTATAAAATGTCTGAGCCCAATCCATGTTTTCTCATTGTGCCCAGTCAAACTCTTTTACATGTGTCAGATTCTGATTACCATTTCCATGTCCATGCAACACTAGTAAAGACGAAAGAAACTTAGATAATGAGGGAATACAAATAAATAGACAGGTATTTCTAGCAAAAAATACAGCCAAATAAATTATGTCCATTCCACTTTATTGAATTCTATCACACTCCATCAAAAGGTGTGGAAATTCAACGCTTCCAGTTTTGGAAGGAACTATTTATCCCCATTATCGTTTGATTTGAACACGTTTTTTGCCTTAAGCATGCTTACTGGCCCATTTGCACATAAAGAAGATTTGTTTCCATGCTCATGAGCAATTTCTAGTTTCTTGTTTGTATATGGGTTTTACTTGGTTTGAAGTTTTTTGTTGCAATGACTAGTTCATGTAATGAAGGTGCTAGATAGCTAGCTAGTTAGCTAGTTAGCTGGTTGTAGTGGGGACCTAGGATGAGTCCTGCCTTCACCAATGTTGGGGGTTCTAGGGGTTTCAGGGTTTGGGGGATGGATATGCCCATTGTGTAGTCCATTTTCCCACCAGAAAAAGGATACAATAATTTTGGTCCACATTCAAGCCCAAAACGATGATCAATGATGGATTCTCGACCTGCATGCGACATGAGCTTAATTTACTTAACCCTGAATCTCAGGATCTCACACTTATGGCTATACTAACATAATAGTTGATAGTTGATACACAAACAAGCCCAACCATAGCTAATAATTAGCTACAAATAGAGATAAGGGTGGCAAACTGGCAATTAGGCAGGTTTCGGACTTTGGATAGAGATGCAACCTATTCATCTAACCTGCTAACTCATTAAGAACCCATTTAAATAAAATTAAATGGGTAGACCCCCAACCAAAACTTGCCTTGACTCAATCCAACCCGCCCATTCCATTAACCTTGTAATGATTAAGGGATGTGCTTTGGGTCATTGTGGTCTTACACTAGTGGTGATCATGGGCCGGCTGAGGCCAAGCTTAGCTTCTACAATAAGGGGCACAGTTTGGGCTAATGCCTGGACCAGCCCGCACCCCAGCTCTTAAATAAGATCCCAGACATACATTATTAACACTAAGTCCCAGTTTCAAATGACTATAAATATTGTATAGATACATAACAAACACATAATAATTTATGTCAAGTGTAAACTACTGAATATGTGGAAAATAGAAGAAGAATTAAACCAGTGTTGTAAGATTTGAACCAGATTGAATGGTTGAACTGGTGACCCGGTGACCTTTTTGGGTCCTGAATAAATGATGATTTTCACTGTTTGAATGGGCTTACCACCTGGTTAATCTGGTTAATCAATAAAACTAAGACCAATGAGCATTTTGGTTTATGTTTTGCCTGAATTTTATTACAGCGATTTAAATGTGCATGTATATCTAGGAAATCAATATAAATTATATTGATAATGAAAAATATTAATTTTACATTTTATATGAAGGTGCTGCAAAAGTTAAATAACTTATTATGGCATGACATAGTGGTAAGAATGGTTGCCTTTCATGTAAGTGTTATGGATCAAATCACTTCATATTTCATATGATTTTTTACATGTTGAGTTAAATGTATTGCATTAGTGGGTGTTAGTTGTTTTAGTTATCTATGGCAATGAACTGGGTATTAGTAGTTTGGGTTAATTATTAACTATTAGCAATTATCACGTTTTGAGTATTATGGCTAGAGTTAATTAGTACTTGGAATTAATTACATGTTGAGTTAATGTGTTATTTGAATTTAAATGGAGGGACAATGGGAATTAATGAGATAATGGAAGGTAGAGTTAATTACGGATTTGAGAATTAAGAGAGAGAGAGAGAGAGAGGGAGGGTTAAAGCCTGTCCAATGGGTGATTCAACCCATTTTTAACCTGCTTAGTAAATGGGTGGGTTAGAAATTGTCACCCCTAGATAGAGATAATGCTCGACTAGTTCTTTCCAAATTTCTTCCACGCTTTTTGATGTGGTTTGGAAAAGGAACCTGACATGTTGTAGTGCCTCTAGTAGGTGGCATCACTTTCTTCTGTTCCTTGTTAACTATGATGTAATGTTCATGTGAGCATTTTTACATTCTCTTTTTCAAGTTACAGAGCAAGAGTGTGGCCTTGCGGGGATATTTTGTTCCAATTTTCATCCTGATGACTCTATTAAGTGGATTTTTCCTGCAATGTCTCGTCCTCTTTGTCTCTTGTTACTTGAGTTGTTTTGATTGGTTATGCCATAAGTCTACAAGTTAGATGATAATTCAAGAGGAATTGGAGATTCATTATACTGAAATTCTGAATTTGCAGAATCACCTGGAATGGGTTATTATCATGTCCTTGTATTTTATCCATGGGTTAAAACTGTGAACAGCATTTTAATTATTAAGATTTCCCAATTGATATTCATCATCATCTAAGTCTAAGCTTTGTCCCAACTATATGGGGTTGGCTACATGAATCCTGTTTGGCCATTCTGTCCTGTTTAGTACCTGTATCCATTCTGTCCCAACTATATTGGGGTTGGTTGCATGAGGCATGAACCTGACCATTGGTTGTGAGGCATCAAGGTTGGCTTTTGATATGATGTTCTGGATTGTGATTGCTGAAAACTACTCACCGAGCTTCACCCTTTGTTGGCAGATAGAGAACGAAGTTGTCTCAAAAGAGATCCTTCTTGGTCATTGGAAATGCCCTACGTTTGTCAATGAGCTTTTCTTGTCAATTTCTTTTTGTATACAGATCTAAAATGCTGCTGCTCATGAAGTAGTAGGCAAGGATTATAGAATGCTGAAAATGTGGTTAGATGAACTCCAAAGTTGTTGGCTTCTTTCTTGAATAGATATCTAGAAAGTCAGAGCGGTGTAAGGCGGTAGGATTTTAGGATTCGTGCTTGGTCTATCTTCTTGTTTTGTATTTATGCTTTAATGGAAGTTTGAGTTAGAAAAAAGGCAACCATTGATTTAGTAGCCTCCACCCAGTTAAGACGCGAGGTTGTAAAGTGCAAAGTTAGGTTAAGGAGTCGTGTTTTGGTCAAGCTATGCCCTAGCTGGGTTCCTACCAAGGTTTAAAATTTCGATATGATACACCCGATACGGGGTGTATCGTATTATATCTTTGAAAAAATAGATACAGGATACGCATGGAAATTGGACGTTTCGTCTTTTTTCATGCGTATCGGACCCATATCGGGGGCGTAGTGGGGGTGCATCGGTACGTATCGACGAAAAAGAATAGACCAAAAACTAAAAAAATTAAAGGGGGAAAGCAAGCTTCTTTTCCCCGAAATAAGCCTTCTTTCACCCCGAAATGATTCTAAAACTCCAAACTTCATTCCTAGAGTGCTAGATTTGCAAAAGTTTGCAAGAAACTAGTGTGAATCGTTAATTTTTTAAAGATTTTTCAAAATTTGAAAAAATATGACAAAAGTAGGTAAATTTTTTCAAATTTTTATAATATCTTGTGATTTCTTTTTTTATTGAATGTTTAAATTTTTGTTGGACTACATTTTTTACATTCAAAATCACAATTTTTTTTGGGCTATCAGTATATTTATGGAAATTTCATGAAGATATTTGGGGAAAATATAAATTAACAAAAATTTTGAAAATGTAATTTTTTCTCTGCCTGTAAAGACTAAATATGTTTTAGATCTATGGATTTATCTATCATATCCATAGAGCAATTGAAATCTCTTCTTTAATACTTTTTTGATTTTTTATATTTTTAGAATTAAAAAACAAATAATAATTAATTATATTTTATCATTTGATCACAACAATTGAATATATTATAATTCTATGGATGATCTATCATATCCATAGAGCAATTGAAATTTCTTCTTTAATACTTTTTTGATTTTTTATATTTTTAGAATTAAAAAATAAATAATAATTAATTATATTTTATTATTTGATCACAACAATTGAATATATTATAATTCTATGGATGATCTATCATATCCATAGACCAATTGAAATTTCTTCTTTAATAACTATTTTTTTTATATTTTTTAGAATAAAAAATAATTAATGAATTAATTATATTTTATCATTTGATCACAATGATTGAATATGTTATAATTCTGTGGATAATCTATCATATCCACAAAGCAATTGAAATTTCTTCTTTAGCAACTATTTTTTGAATATATTATATAATGTTTATTTATTTTTTATTACTTTTGGAAATGTCTACTAAAAAGTAATTATTCAAATAATAAATATTATTAATTATATTTTCACATAGAAGTTGTGCCAATGCATGTTTTATGGTTGGATAGGAGAGTTGGGTTTTCCTATCCCATAAAACATTAAAACTTAAGAATTATAATTTATAAATTATAGTTAGTCATAGGATTTTTAATAAAATTATAATTAGCTACAATATATTTCTTCATAAAACCATTAAAATATATTAATTTAATGTATATACACCTCATTGAGGTTATATATGTAGTG